GATATTATTTCCTAACAAAATTCCATGACATGAATTTTTACTGTCCAGTTTGAAACTTTTAAATGAACATGGCCTTCTGTGGCCCTGTTTTCATTTATTTCTCCTTGCTAGGTTCTATTACTAGTAGGGAAAGAGCTCTTGAAGCTGCTAAAGATACTAAATATTTGATTATGTTCTTATCTGGTGTATTTTATGTCACAATTGTATTGCTTGCCTAATCGTGATGGTAATCTACGGGAATACAGACCTTATGTTTCATATGCAGTAAGCTAAACATACTTGGGCCTCGGAAGAGAGCTGGCCCACTTCCACTTTGTGTAGTGGAAAATGGAAACCGAGAATATTACACCCCAATCTAAATGTTTTAAATCCTCTTAATTATGAAATGGACAAACAACAACAGTATTCTGATAAAGGTCCCGAAAATGACGTCTTATTCTTTTCTTACTTCATTATCTCCAGTACATTTAAAGCTGTTAAATATTAATATAGTTAGTGCATATATAGATATGATGCATAAAGTTAGAAATCTGATTAGCTAATACCATACCCTGAAATTGAAAAGAAGAATAAAAAACAATTGTTATTATTTCTTCTTTTGTGAAAGATCAAGCAAGGTGGTAAGCTGTTTGGTTTTGTTTTTTACTTCTGTTCATTAAACTAACACACGGAAATAAATTAGCTAAGGAAGCTGACATAGCTCATGGACATATCCAGTGTGTAGGATCGTTTCTTAAACAGTATACTTTTATGTGGCATTTCTTGCTCCAGTTCAACGCTGTGGATGGGGGAGGGGTGGGGAAGGAACCCAATCATGTCCTCCAGGAGCTCGTCATTAGGTGGCAAAGAGAGACACATGCCTAAATAATTCAGCTACAAGACGGACCGATACATGTTATAACAGGAGTTTTCTGGATGTGTTATGAGGGGAAGGTGGCAAGAGGAAATTCTTACTGAAGTGAGAGAGATGTCTGGGAAGGCTTCTTGAAAAATGTGCTATTTGAATTGGGTCTTGAAGGAAAATGCAGTATTTCAACAAGTGGATTTTGGACAAGGAGCATTACACAGTGAGAGAACTATGTGAGTAAATAATATATTTAAAAAAAAAATCCATCGCTGTTAAGTCCATTCCCACTCATAGCGACCCTATAGTGGCACAGTGGTTAAGAACTGGGCTGCTGACCAAAAGGTCAGCAGTTCAAATCCACCAGCCGCTCCTTGGAAGCTCTATGGGGTAGTTCTACTCTGTCGTATTGGGTCGCTATGAGTTGGAACCGACTTGACGGCATCTAACAATAACAACATATATTATTTAGTAGAAAGTTGCTCTTGGTTATTACCAACCAGTTGCCATTGAGTTGATTACAACAGAGTAGAACTGCCCCATAGGGCTTCCAAGGAGCGTCTGGTGGATTTGAACTGCTGACCTTTTGGTTAGCAGCCGAACTCTTAACTACTACGCCACCAGGGCTCCAAATAATATATAGCACAGCAAAATTTTATTAACACTTTCTGTGCTAAGTACAGGGCTTTAACTGATTGGATCCCAAACAGTCCTAGAAAGTAGGTACCAATATCTGAATTCACAGTTAAGGAAACTGAAGCTTGGAGACATTGATTTGCCCTAGGTTATAAAAACAGTAGATTCTGGAGCAGGGAGATATCTACTGGTCAGGCTCAAAGCCATTAGGTGGCAGTAGGTTCTAGTCTATTAAGGAAATGGCCAATGGGCCTGTTGGTATGAAGCACAAAACTGAGGGCAGCATTTCCCAAGTTTGCCTTAATTTTAAGAACTACCTGAAGCACTTGTTTAAAATAAGATTCCCAGGTCCTCCCCTGGAGATTCTGATCCTGTTAGTGTGGGACAAAAAAGCCCATTGCCACTGAGTTGATTCTGACTCATGGCGACCCCATGTGTTACAGAGTAGAACTGTTCCGTAGGTTTTCTTGGCTGTAATCTTTAAGGAAGCAGATTGCTAGGCCTTTCTTCTGCAGTGCTGTTTCGTGGGTTTGAACTGGCAACCTTTAGGTTAGTAGTCCAACGCAAACCTGGTGTGGGGTGGGGCCTCAAAATCTGTATGTTTAACAAGCACCCCAGTTGATTCTTTTGATCAGGCAAGTTGGACACACTTGATTAATCTCATTGCAATATAGCAGGAAAGAAGCCATCTAACTCCTTATTGATGCTCAACTGTTTGTTGAATTGGAAGTTTAAAAAAAAGGTCACAAAGTTTGGATTTTGTTCTGTTTTTAAGGGAGTACTACTGAAGGTTTACAAGCAGGATATGAAATTATTGGATGGTTAATAGAAAAAACAAATAGTATAATTTGTAGGAAGAAAATTTGGTTTTGTGTTAAAATTTAAGATTTTTTCTTTTACTTCCAATAAGGTGCTTTTCTCAAATGAGGAAATGCTAACTTGCTAGAGAGGTACCTAAAGCATTTTTTATTTTAGAATGAAATCTTAAGTAGTTTTTGATGTTTGAAGATTGTATGCATGCCTGTTTTAACACAACACATGAAATAACTATTACAATGACTCTAACTTTTTTATCGACATAATATTGTTTCTCTGATTTCAAAAGTAATACATTATTGACCCTCAATGCTGATGGAAATATTTGTTCCTCTTCCTTCCTGGCTCCACTGTCTACTAACTTCCAACCTCATTAATTCTTCCCTTTTCCAGTTGCCTTCTATTTACTAGAGAAAATACATACCATCACATGGGCACTGCCTCAGCTTCCTGCCACAGACTGGCAAGTCAGCATCCACACCTGCACTGTCCATTGGTCCTTCCCTCCAGTTCCAGGGGAAGCGGTAGCAAGGTTATATCCTTCCATCTGTGCCTTGGTTCCATACCCTCCTATCACCTCAGGACCTCTCTTTGCCCATTAGCTCTTATGAACGAACTACCTGCATGTTCTTCAACTGGAGTAATATATGGATCTCTTTTAAGGAAAAAACTCTTGTGGATGTCCAGGGTTGACTTAAAATTTTTTTCTTATAATGTTAAATAAACTAGATATAAACTTCGTGCTTTATAGCTCTTACATGAGATAAAAACAATTCTACACATTGATACAAACTACAAAATAAAATTCAATAGCTTTTATAGAACTATAAAAAGCACATTTAGAAATTAATACAAATAAAATCATAAAACCTAGAAAATTCATATCTTCATAGTGTAATGTAACAAATGAAACGGAATTGCAACTTCAAAATGTGAATATTGTTTTAATCGCTACTGCCCTGGTTCTTTTGAGTTCTCCATGCATGTACCCCTGTGGGCCACCTGATGACTAATCTTCCACAACTCTTCTCTGTTGGAAATATCCCATAATAACAAGATAAATTAAGACTTCCTCTAAGAAATTTGCGGTAGCCCCACACCCCCTAGTTTGGTTCCCTCTAGGTATTCCATTAGAACGCTGTATTTATTATAATACTTACACTATATGCTGTAATTGCCTAACTGCCTTTCACCCTCGTCTCTTTGCCCATGTTGTTTAAAATGAATCCCGAGCACACATGCTTTAAGATCATAAAATAACATTATATCCTTTTTTTCACTTGCAATAACATGAGTATTTCCCCCCATGCATTATTCTTTGAAAACATTTCCGTTAACATAATATTCATCGTATTTTTAAATATTTAACTTTTCCCCTATTGTTGGACATTTAGGTTGCTTCCAGTTTTTCACTTATACAAATTTTATAAATCGTATTTGCATCCCGTAGTTTCTGAGAATAGATCTCTAGTAGCTGAATTACTAAGCCCCAAGGAGGAAAATTAATACAGTGGTTAATAACTTAGGTTCAATTCTTTGTTGGCTTTGTTGTGCCTGCTAAATGTGTGACCATTAGCAAGATGCATAACTTTCTAAACCTCAATTTCCTTACTTTAGTATGGGGATAATAATAATATCTCCTTCAGAGTATGTGAAAACTGTAGCATCGTATACAAATAAAGCAAATGATCAGAGCAATGGCTGACACTCAATAAATAATACCTATTTTGTACTTACAAAAAATACTCGATTTAGGTATTCGCAAGTGACAGGTAAGATTTACCTGTTTACACTTCCAGCTTCAGAGATGAGAGCACTTCATCAGATTGTAAAATTTTGCATTGAACATGAACATGCAGTTTTACAATATTGTCACCTATTTGAAGCACTCTACAACACCTGCTTGAGGCAACTATAGAAATGTTTGTAATTGCGAAACAATATGAAATGGAGCATATTTACATTATCACCAGAAGACGTTGCTGAAAAGCCTTCATCATTCCTTGCATGGCTGCCGTGGCCCTGAGGCAGGAGTAGGAAACCCAGACTGAGCGCCTCTGACGCTTTGGATATCCCTCCACAGTAGGAACTCAAGACAAAGTGCAAACTGGAAGATACCCAGCCCTGGAAGAAAAAGGGGAAAAACCCAGTGGGTCTCTGCCTGTTTTAATAAATTATGTTGCTTGTTGTCGTGTGCCATCAGAGACGGTTCAAACTCATATCGATCCCTATAGGACAGGGGAGAACTGCCCGATAGGGTTTCTGTAATCTTTACGGAAGCCTATTTATACATCTTTCTCCCTTGGAGCAGCTGGTGGGTTCCCTGACCTTTCTGTCAGCAGTCCAGCGCTAAACTGCTGCGCCACGAGAGCTCCTTAGAGTGCGCTTCCCGTGGCCTGCAGTAGATTCCCACTCATAACGATCCTATAGGGGTCGATAGAGTTTCCAAGAAGTGGTTGGTGGATTCAAACAGCCGACATTTTGGTTAGCAGCCAAAGGCTTAACCACTACGCCACCAGGGCTCCAGAGTGCATCCAGGGGAGTGTAAGTGGTGAAGTATCAGCTACTTCTCCTCCAACAAAAACGCCCTCCTCGAAATTTCGGCTCCTTCCTCCCAGTTCTCTTAGAAGCTTCCCCGTCTCCCTGGCAACCTGAGCTACCACCAATTGCAGCGGAAGATTGTTGGTCACGTGTCCCCTACCCCTCCACAAGCGACGGCAACATGGCGGCCCCGGTAAACTGTCGCTGCTAGATTAGAGTTACTCCACCTGTAGCTGCCACAACCCTGACTATGGCGGCTCCGGCTTTCTGTAATTTGCGTCGGAGCCCAAATGAGCTTCCTAGAGACCCTTCACAAGAAGATGAGGATTGTGATTCTGAAGACTGGGTCAGCGACGCAGGTTCATTCTCCTCGGCGAGTAGTGATTATGAGTAAGGCTCTCGAAGAGGGACAATTAATTCCATCCGGGGAGTGTACACGTGTTTAGGGGGACTGCAGTGGGTCTTGACTTGTTTAGAATTAGGTGTTTGGGACTGTATAATGAGTAGAGTTTATTTGCGTCATGTTTCAATTGTGTGATGGACGGTGCCATTTTTTGCTATTGGTTTTTTCTGATTCTCAGATGTGGAGGATCGCCTCTTTCTGGTGGCGACTTGAATACTAAATGAAGGCATATCTGTTAGATTGTTCATAAAACACTTGCTGTTTCAGTGCCTTGCTTTTCTGGTGTCATGATCTTTGTGACTTTAACGGCAGTATTTAGAATACTCTACACGTTTTGTAAGGACTTTCTTAAATTACCAAGATTTGTTTTTTTCCTGTAATAGAAAAGAATTGATATATACATGAAAGAAAATTCACCCATAGTCTCACCATGGAGGACAGCTTCTCTTGGCTTTTGGGTATTTCTGCCATATTTTCCTATACATCCCTAAGATTTTTTCTTTTCTATTTTATGACATAATGTAATTTTTAAAATATAGAATGTGTTATTTTCCCCTTTTTTTATTCTTAGTAGTACCGTGAAAAAATTTTGTTTCACAGAACACAATTTGACTTCAATTTTGAAGGAACTGCAATCTATCCCTTACTGCTATCAATTAAGAACTTTTTGGAACTTTCAGTTAGTGGTAGCTTAAAATGAATAATGAAAAACATTAGACATCAAAACATCAACCAGCCCCTTACTGGACTGTCATACACAGTCAGTTGTAGGATGACATTTTATGTGTATTTAGAAATGACAGTATAAGTACTTAAGGTGTATTTAGGAGTAACAGTTACTCGACGATTAATTTCACTTATAGGTGTGTAAAATATTTTTGTCATTTTCTTTAAAAGTGTGGGAAAAAAGCCTTCATTAATGGCTGCTTAATATACTCTTGTTGTTAGTTGCTGTAGAGTCTATTCTGACTCATAGTACCCCATGTGTGCAAAGTAGAACTGCTCCGTGGGGTTTAAGCAGATTGCCAGACCTGTCTTCCCAGGCACCTCTGGGTGGGTTCTAACTGTCAACCTTTTTGCTAGTAGTCAAGCTGTTAACCACTTTTGCTACCCAGGGGCTCCTAATATACTCTAGAGGCTTAATAAAGACAGATTATATTCTTGAACGCCTGAACAAATTTAACAATATCAAATATTTTGTGTAATATATTGCTCCTGTGGTCATTAATTACAAAATTCATGGCCGTCAGGTGAGGCTCCTGGAAGGAATTATGGATTACAACATAGAACCTTCATATAAGGTTTGGTGTTGGTTTGTGGTCAGGCGTGGGAGCCATAACAATGTGAGATGCAAACTCTTGGTTTCTCCACATTTTAGTATTACACAGTTTTGGTCCAGAGACAACCTGGAACTTGCCCATAGTCACACAGCTGGACTGTTGTCAGTGTAGGAATTCAGGGGCTCTCATTTCTAATGGGGTGCCCTGGTTTTGGTGAGATGAAGATAAATGATCTAGCCTTCACCTAGTTATTTCCCAGGAAACAATCTAAGACAGGCCATATAGAACTCACAGACCATACTTACAGTTAACTGGTTTATTAAAAAACAGGGTACAGCTCGGGATCAAAAAGCATCCAGGACCAGGCAGAAGGTATCAAACCATTACCCAGGAAATGTCAACCAACCTGAACAAGAGTAACAAACCCTTTGGGGTAGAAACTAGGGGAAAGGTAGCTCCTCAGGGTTTAGGGGAAAAATCTCTCAGGCTGTTTTTCCAAAGAGTCAAGGTAAAAGGCCACATAAAATAACTCATTTCACCACAGTTGGCATCCCCTACTTACCTGAGGAGGGTTGGGGTGGAAAACGTGGTCCTGGGAATGGGGTCATTATTAACATAGTTGCAGTGGAGATATACCTGATGTAGAAATTTAGTATATGAAATGAGTGTGCAGTTAAGAGCTCACTGACTGAGCCCTTCGTCTTCTCTGACATGCTTTACTGTTGTTCCAGTGGTGACTGTGGCTAGGCTAGAAGACATGAGCCTATGTGATGTTCCCCAGCCCTCAAGCCACAATAACACCCAGTATAGATTTTAACCATTAAATTCATGGTTTTAGAACCATGGATCATAAAACCTTCAGGGGAGAAGATATATTGCTGGGAGATGGAGCACAGAAAAGAAAACACAGACAAGCACTGGACAGACTGGTGTTCACTGAACGAGTATCAGATGAGTGCCAGATAGAATCCATATTAATTGTACCATGATGTTTTTCATTGTGTGTGGCTTTTCTCTGTTCCTGAAATTGTCCCTGCTGTGCTTATTAGCACCATGTAACTATATGTGTCAATGACTGTGGTAAAGTGCATTGTGCTCTGCCCACCCCCACCCCCCAAAAAAGTGCCATATAATGTAATGGGTTTAGAGTGGAGTAGCAAAAGTCTGTTTTCCTTAAATAAGGAAATGTACCAGTGTTGCTGTTGTTAGCTGCTGTCAAGTCCCCCTTGACTCGTGGTGACCCCATGCACAACAAAGTGAAATCTGCCCAGTCCTGTGCCATCACTGTGATTGGTTGCAGACGCAGCTGTTGTGATTCATAGGGTTTTCATTGGCTGATTTCCCGAAGTAGATCACCAGTAGATCATCCTAGTCCCTCTTAGTCTGGAAGCTCCGCTGAAAATGTTCAGCATCATAGCAACACTCAAGCCTCCACTGACAGACAGGTGGTGGCTGCACATGAGGTGCATTAGTAAAACCAAAAAACCAAACCCATTGCCTTCGAGTCGATTCCGACTCATAGCGACCCTATAGGACAGAGTAGAGATGCCCTATTGGGTTTCCAAGGAGTACCTGGTAGACTCAAACTGCTGACCTTTTGATTAGCAACCATAGCTCTTAACCACTCACTACACCACCAGGGTTTCCAAGGTGCATTAATTTTTTTAAATTATGAAATAGGGTGCATTAGTAGGGCTATTTCATTTTTTTTTTCTTGTGGTGGTTAAGAATATTGCCATTTTCTTTCAGCTGATGAAAAATGCTGGCACTGATACAAATAAAGACCTGAGAGATTCAGCTAACTTTTAGAGGAAAAAAAATATTATCCGTCTATAATTCTTGAATACATTAGGAATTGAGAGATTTATTAGCATTACCTAAATTTCATTTTCTTTATTGTATTTATGTTATAGCCTATGTACGTAAACTTGCTTATTTGTAAATTAACAAGTATTTCTTTGACTGGGAAGAAGAACTCTGTTCACATTTACCACATCATTTAGGGCCTTGAAAACCAATTAAAGTGCCCTCAAAATCTAAAAGCAGGCTATAAAGATACAGTTATTGCTGTTTAGAGCAAAGCAGAATAAACAAGATAAGAATCTTCTTGAAAAAAAATTGAAAGACATTTACTCAGTAAGAACTTTGCAGCTAATACCAGGTGTTGTCAGGAAATGTTGAAAGAATATTTATATTAGTACTGACTGATATCACCCATGTATTACAAAGACCTGAATTAAAATGGCTAGATTTAATTCCTATGGTTTTTTTGTTTTTAAATAAAATTTTTACTTCGGAATATGCTTAGGTTTACAGAAGAGTTGCAAAGATAGGACGAGTTCCCACGTATCTTTCATCCACTTTCCCCTAATGTTAACATCTTACACAACCATCGTACATTTATCAAAACTAAGAAATTAACATCGGTATAACACTATTAATTAAAGTCTAGACTTTTCGCTAATTTCGCCACTTAAACCGTTAATAGCCTTTTTCTATTCCAGGATCCAATCCGGGGTATCACATAGCATTTAATCATCACGTTTCCATAGTCTCCTCTGGTCTGCGAGAGTTTCTCAGTTCTTATTTTTCAGAACCTCAATCATTTGGTTAAGGTAGTGTCTGCCAGTTCTCTTTACTATAGAGTTACTGTTTTTTTTTCCTTTTTTATACTCTGTTCTTTGCAAGCCAGTCACTAAGTCCACACTCAAGGTTAAGAAGGATTAAGCTCCATCTCTTCAAGGAGTAACTGCATGCATTATTAATCTCTTTAATTTTGTTATTAACTAATAGTCAGAAATAAAGTTGTTTTTGTTCAGATATATACATATATCCACCCTTCCTTTTGATAAAACTAGTTTGGAAGTATAGTTCATAGAACTGTGTTAAAACTTTTCAGCACACTAATCAGTTATGTTCTTGATTATATAATGAGGAATTAATCTTGCAGAGTAGAAATAAGGAACATTCCAGGAATACTGAACTGTAGGGGTCTTGAAGTAGGCATCTAGTTTTGCTGTTTATATCACCAGCACCTATCCTGGAGTCTGGCAAGTAGAGGTCATTGGAGACATCTTCATTTAATACTAGGGGCTGGAAAAGTATAGAACATCTGTATTTCATACAGGTGAAGTTTCTCTATGGTTTTATCTCTGTGGAGCAAGAAGAAGGGAACTGGCACAATAAAACATTATTTTATTTACTGCTAATAACAGCATTGTGAGGTTGCTATAATCTGTTTTCTAGAAGAGAAAAACTAAAGGTTAAAATTGCAATAGAACAGAATTTGAAACCAGATCTTTGTGACTTTTCGATCCATTTGCTTTTCAGTATACATGTTGCTTCTCTCTGTGGAGTCTCTTGTGTGCATTTCCCAGCCTTTGTTTCTGTCTCTCTTATCCTCCTTTTAATTTCTTAGTTTAAAAAAAAAAAAGTCTTCGTCTTCTTAAAGTATTTTTAAAACCTAGAGGTTAAGGAAATGGATATCATACATTGCTGGTGGAACTGTGAATTGGTATAGCTTTTTGAGTAAAGACCCATATATACACATAACATATAAGGATAGTTACTGTAACATTATCTATTTAAAAAAAAAAACTGAACACAGAGCTTATCAATAGGTGAATGATTGAATGTGGTACATCCCTGATATGGATTATTATGCAGCCATTAAAAAGAATCCATTGACCTAGAGGGATTTCCAAACTG